TTTTTAAAAACAATATAATTTATGTAAATTACATATGAAAAGAAAAAAGCTTTGAAAGTAATCTAAAAACTCACAATTATAATATTTAAACTCACAATTATAATATATAATGTAACCATTAAAATTATAAATATGCAAATTGGGTAGAATCATGGACATTTATTTGTTAAAAATAATAAAAACAATAGAATTAAAGAGTTAATGTATGCTGTATTTGTTAATTATGTGAAAAATTTACCTATGAAAAAAGGTTGTACAGTTCCATAGCAACATATAGTTTATATAGGAAAATTTTATCTAAATTATTGAAATTTAAACATTTTTTTGTAAGTATGAAAGAAAAGTCATCTCAGTATGTTTAGTTGGATGTTCATGGCCTCCAACAACTAACAGACTTTCAAACACCTCTAACAGTTTGCTTGTGTTTTTATTTTATAGTGCTTGCTTCAGGTTCTGGTAAATGTTTCAGGGAATGGAAAACCTGGGAAGCCTAGCATTGCAGCTGTTGCTGTGAGCACCCAGCACGGATCCATCCTGCAACTTAATGACACCTTGGAAGAGAAAGAAGTTTGTAGGTTTGTGCCTGCTTTGCTGTGACCTACTGAAGTTTGCATTTTCTTTATACTTTTTTTCCTATTTGGTTTTAGCTTTTTCTTCCTTCAAAATGTTTTTCTATATCTCCCCTGCTCTGCACTCAGGAATGAGTATCACTCTGCCTTCATGTCATAATCAGAATCTAAGTCTTTTTTTTCTGGATCTAATCAATTTTTTTAATTTTACCTAATCTTTATAGGCTGGAATACAAATTTGGTGAATTTGGAAACTATTCTCTCTTGGTAAAGCACGTCCATAATGGAGTCAATGAAATTGCTTGTGACGTAGTTGTCAATGAGAATCCAGTTGACAGTAACCTTCGTATGTATATGCTTTTTGTTGATTTTTTAAATTTGCATTTTTAAAGGTTTTCATTTTTGATTACTGTTTGCAACACTTTGTGTAATTTAAAACCTGGATTATGGCTTATCTGATAGTTATGGTAGATTTATAAAGTATTTATTGTGTCATTGGTATGTAAAATATCAAGAAAATTATGTGATATAAAGAAAATTATATATGTCAACATATACTCATAGTTGTTTAATTATAAAGCATAAATAAACCAAAAAAGTTAATGCAGTGGAAAGAAACTGGAAATAGAGCAATTGACTGTCAAGTATCTTCCTTATTTTTGGATTTAGGGTATACTATTTCCTGTATGTGTCTTACATTGACAGTCTAGAGATCCCCTTAGGTTAAGAAGGGACCTTTCATTCTCTAATACCTCTACTGAAGAAAATCTGTCATTCTGAGCCTCTCATTAGGTAATACAATAAGTCCCAGGGGCATTATTAGTACCATTCATGGTGAAGCTATTGAAGACTGTGGGATCATGTCAAAGGAACATAAGAGCCAATATGAAAGGGCCAGCATGGGACGATTTAGGTATTAAAAAGAATAATGGATGTAATTGATGGAAATACATTGAATAAACAAAAAAACAAACAGTTCATTATGAAACTAAAAAGAGAAAGGCCCCCCTCCCTAAACAAACACAAAAACAGTACTTTGGTTGCCTTTCAAGGTAACAAGGACTCCTGATGTTAACTTATGTGATTTAAAATTTTCAATTGAAAGATCTAAGAATTTGTCCTTTTTCTGTTTTAACTGTATTTTAGGATAACTAAATAGTCCTAGATGATGAGGGTAAATTTCTTTAGAGAAGAATTCCAGCTAATGTCAGAAAGGCAGAATATTTTGCATCCCCTCATGAAATAATTGTTGTAGGCAAAAATCATGAGTGGATGATACTATCAGGTGAAGGGGGAGCTTTACCTGGGAGTGGTCAGGCTTTCACCAGCTGAACGCATACGTGGGGCACGTGATGCAGTGCCGTGGGAAAGACACAGCGCCACATGTGACGTATTCTTCCTGAAAGAGATGAACTTTTTTAGTCAAGCCTTTACAGCTAATTTCCTATTTATAGAACATTTGGTGGGTAGGAGAACAAGTTCAGTGACACCATGAAGAAGCATCTGACAGATCTAGAATGGGAGACTTGCTAATAGACAGCAGCTGACCTGTTGTTTAAAACATGTCAGTGGCTGCTTATAACTGAATGAGACTGAAGAGACATAAGCAAATGCAAGATGTGAACCTTGTTTGGATCCTGATTTGAACACATTAACTACAGAAAACATTTTTGGGACTAGAAAAATTTGAATATGGACACAGCGTTAGCGAGGGAATTATTTTTACTTTTGTCTGACATTGCGGTTATATAACAAAAGGCCCATTTTGAAGAAACTTTTAATTTTGAAATAGTTTTAGACTTATAGAAAGATTGCAAAAAAGAGTTCTCATATACCCTTTACCCACCTTTTCCTAAATCTCTAAACTATATAATCATAGTACAGTTATCCAGGAACTTAACAAATGATACAGTGCTCTTTACTGACCTAGAGACTTTTCAAATTTCTCCAGTTGTCCTTTTTAACTTTTTTCTTTTTCTGGTCCAGGACCCAATCCAGGATCCCATAGTGCAATTAATTGTCAGGCTTCTTACCCGCCTCTGATCTAAGACAGTTCCTCAGCCTTTCTTTGTCTTTCATGACCTTGACCCTTTTGAAGAGGACTGGCCAATTATTTTATTATTTGGGTTTACTTGCTGTTTCCTCATAACTAGGTAGAAGTCACGCATTTTTGGCAGATTACTACAGAAGTGATACTCTGCCCTTCTCAGTGGGTCATGACAGGAGTTGCATGATGCTGATATGTCGTTTACGAGACTCTTATTTTAGAGATACATACTGAATACATAGGAATGAAATGACATGGTTTCTGGGATTTGCTTAAAAGCACTATAGGCGAAAAAAGAATTTAAAAAGCAGAGAGAGGAATAGTAATAGACACAGCAAGAGTGACAATATCTTGATAATTCCAGAATTTAGGTGATGGGCATATATGGGTTTATTATTACAATTCTCTGTATTTTTTTGTATGTTTGATATTTTTTCAGAATGAAAATTAGCACTCCCTTCATGGTGTTCTCAGTTGTTTATAGGAAATTTAGCATAAGAATATAGGCTTTTCCTCATTTGTTTCCATTTTCATTTGTTTTTATTTTTCATTTACAGATTAAGTGTAGTGACATAACAACTTTGATGCTTTTGATGATATTTTTGGTGATAATGTGTTTCCTGTTACTTTTCTAGCCGTGAGTATCGCGTTCCTTGTTGGACTAGCAGTTGTCATCGCAGTGTGCTTTCTCAGGTTCTTGTTGAGGTAAGCAGATGTTAGGGGAGAACACAACTGGGGAAAGAAGAACATAGAAAAAACATATTCAGGAAGGGTAGTTTGACCCTTCAAATGACCTTTATTCTTTGATTAAATGAATACTTAATGTGTCCACCATGCCCAGTCCAGTCCTAGGTATTAGGGATTCAGTATAGAGTTAGAGATGATCCCTGACTTCACGGAAATGATAACGTAGTTCTAATGGATCTTTGCTTTCAATCCTCCCAAATGACAGAAAAAGTAGAAGAAAAAGCTTGAGAAATAATTCTTTCCTAAGAGAATTTCACATCCTGCTTCGTAGAGAGTGGAAGTGGGCTACGATGATTTTAGGAGATGGCTGCCATGTCAGACTTTTCTCCCTTCTCTCCAGTACTAAGCCCTGGGGCCACCCATCTAGTCCAGCTTCCCAGCCCCTACCAGACTGGGCATCTGGCAGCAGACCTGGAGGATGAGGTGCGTTACCCACGGACCACAGTATGGACTCCTTCCCTTGGTTAGGGTTAGTAGCTTGGAGAGGGAATGCTCCTCTGGTTAACAGTGATTCTGGTGAAAGCGAATTAGTAGATTGGAAAAGAAAAATAAAATAAAATTGATCCAGGCCTGGCCAATCACTTTTCAAAGGAAAGTTCTTTCATGTTTTAAAAGGAATAAGATTGATTTTTCACTGGCTCAGCCTGTTAGGGTCTCAAGAAGGACCACAATATTTTATCGTTGAGCTGTATCTAAATTGGAAGAAAGAGAACCTAGCCTTTTAAGTCTGCTAGCTTGGGGGAAACCCTGCAACTTTGGGAGTTTATGCACTCTGACCCTCTACCTTTGTGCATATTAGAAAGAAGTCCATGTAGGAGAAAGTTGACTTGTGTAGGCGTAAAAGAACTATATGATGCTTAGGAGCAGAGTTTAACCTAACTGCTTTTTGTGGACAGTGTATAATCCTAGCAGAGGGGGTTCATGTCTTTGAATTTAGGTATTATTTTGTCAGTCTTTGGATTAGATGCAAATACTGGTCCAGTTTATTAGGGTGTTTTCATTTGGTGCTTTTAATATGAATGGGTCTATTACATCATTTTGTAAAGTAATTGGTAGCCAATAATCAAGCTCTTGCGAAGGGAAGAAATACCAGCTCACCGCACTGTGGAACTGAAACTCTTCTTTGCATGTGATTCTGCGTTTGCCGCCCGTGGGCAGACTGCTATTGTAGGCAAAGCAAATGTCCCTTGTCTTTGCCCTGTCACTTCCCAGCATGAAAGTCTGGGGAAGTTCAGATTTGTCTGAACCAGAAAGAAATCTGAAAAAAATAGTAAGAATACAGCCACTCTCTTTTCATCGAGAGAGCAAGCATGTTCAAGAAAATTAAGTGCTTTTTAAATGTTTTAATTTTAAAATATTTTAACTTCTCCTTTTTACTTTTCCTTAGTTGTCTCTCTTTTAATGTTTTTCATGTGATAGTGATCAGTGCTGAATAAACTAGAAATAGGAGTTGAGTTGTGAGGAAAAAAGGAGAAATTAAACATATATGCATTGGATATATGAATCATTTTGGATACTGATATTAAATTATAAGAAAAAACTGACTATTTGATGATATTAAGGAATTATTGACACTTTAAAAATGTACTAACATGTTATTTTTAAAAATAAAAGGAGTTCTTATCTTTTAGAGATACATACTGAAATATTTATGGGTATGATATGGAAATGATATGATATCTGAGATTCTTTAAAATATTCAGTCTTAAGATGGCATGGAAAAGGGGCAGTGGGTGGGAGTCTAGATGAAGTAAGACTGACCATGTGTAGATACTTGTTGAAGCTGGGCGATGAGTCCATGGAGATTCATTGTACTAGTTTGTCTACTTCTGCATGTGCTTGAAACTTCCCGTGATAAAAGAAAAAAAAATCCTATGCATTGGATAATTCAAATGTGCAAAGTTTAGGGAAAACAAAAGGGTGGGCTTGTTTTTGCCAGGCTAAGATACACTTTTTCAAAAATTGTTTTCCAAGTAGAAATCTCATTTTTAAAAAAAAATCAGTTAATATATTTATCTTTTGTTAGTCATGTAAATTAGTTTAATATCATCTAGATATCTTTTTGAACTAAAGTACCCTTCTAGAAAAAGAACCCAATGTAGTAACTATTTGAATCACTCCAAAGTTACTTTCAAACTTTCTCAGTATGCATACATGCATTTTTATTTAATTGTAATCAAGTCCGCATGTTGGGTTTTTGCTTTTTGTTTTTAATAGTTTATATTTGTATTTCTTTGTATGCATAGAACCCACATTCTTGTTATTTTAATAGCTGTATCTTATCCTGTCACAGGCGTCCTTTTAGTCCTGTTTAGTCCTTTTTGTATCGAGTGCATTTGGTTGCAGTTTTTTTGTTATTCTAATTTTAATAGTATTATTAATAACAGTTCTAGTTCCAGGGAATAATAATCTCATTAAACCCTCCCACCAACTCTTGAATGAAGGCTCTATCTTTATTTCTGTTTTACTGATGAGGAAACCATGCTGTAAGGTTTGAGCATTTGAAAATGCTGCTGCTACAAACTTTGATTTCTACTCTTAAAAAGCTTTAAATGTTTTAATTCTTTGACTTGTATGGAATATGAACTTTAAATTAATTTTTTTCAAGATGATATCCAATTATTTTGAAAATTCTTCCAAAGAAAGCAAATTAACTGAGCCTTTTATTTATTTACAGTTTGGATGACTTTAATAATTGGATTTCCAAAGCGATAAATTCTCGGGAAACTGATCGCCTCATCAATTCTGTGAGTTATTAGACTACATCATGTTGGTCTGGGTGGTTTTCCAGATTTGGAATTTACAGTTTCTTATTTAATAATCTTTATTATCTGGTTTAATTAATCTTATTTACATTGTGGAAGGCCAGGGCACATGTCTTGTATTCTTAATAAAGAGCAGCCTTCTCTCGGCTCCTGTAGAGGGCACTGTCCCCTTCTATATTTTCAGTGAGGCTGGAACTCTGGCCTGCACTGTGATGCAGGATGTAGAGACATTTTTCTCTGAGGGCACTACTGTTGAATCAATTCAGTTAAGTTGAGAGTGTCAATATTAAAACAAAAGAGAGATTAGTGTTTAATCTATAAATTTGATGGCCTGCTAAGATAATGAAACACATTTGTGTTCAAAAAATTCATTATGGGCATATTTATGTTCATTTATGGACATAATTGCTTGTATACTTGGACCAGATGTACATATGGGCCAGTTCTTTGTGGTCATTTATCAACATGGCCACTGCAAGCCCAACAGAAGGCATACAGACACACACAAAAGTGAAAAAAACCAAACCTCTAGATGGGATCTGTACAAAAGCAAATTAAAATTTTGTTTGAGATAATAGTCTTTAGTTTTCCACTCTGTAAATTTCACCCCTGATATATAAAGTATGAAATTTACTCCTTAGCATTATGAATTGTAATGTATTTCCTTTTTTCTGAAGGAGCTAGGCTCTCCAAGCAGGGCAGGCCAGCTCGGGGACGACACCCAACTAGAAGCATGGCGTCTGTCTGCTGTGCCTCTGCGCCTCCGCTGTGTGGACACGTTCAGGGGGTATGTGGGGCTGCCTTGTGACACTGTGGGCACAGGTCGACCAGGGTTACATGTTTATACATAAACACACTTTTAACTTAAGGTATTTTATATATCTTTTACTTTCTAGGCTAGAAAGGATTTCTTAGAGTAAAAATAAATCAGCAGCCTCTCCTTATCTGAAAACTGTCATGATAGCCAATGTAATATGTTGCTAGACAGTAGCGAGACAAGGCCAGAACCAGTTTCTACTGGTATGTAGATTCTGCTGGGTTAAGGTCACTTACGTTGGACAAGGAGCTGTATGTGGAGCCCCTTGTCCATCTGCACCCCCATGTCTGGTCAGTAGTTTGACAAATGAGAAGATGAGCCAATTTAGAAATGAAACACCAGCAAATGAAAGAGTCAGTCCTCATTCATCACCACTGCTAGCAAACCAGCTGGAACATCAGGCCCTTTGGAGAGCAAATCCACAGCATCATACAGTAAATTGTTACTATTTTATCGTTCTGGTAGAAGACTGAAGGCCAGGACCAAACTCTGAAAATAAAGTATAAAACTATATAGCTGAAAATAAATATGTTGGTATCGGGTCCTCCATTTCTACCCGCCGGGGTCTTTCAAACTCCAGTAATAACCTTATAATTCTAATTCTGTCCCTGCCTCACCAGAGCTCTGAGTGCTATGCATATTTGAAGCCAGGTAATAATAACAATAACGATAATAATAATAATTGCTAAAATGTTTTCAGCTCTCACTATGTGCCAGGCACTGTCCTAACTTGTCCTAATTTATTTACTCTCTTTAACAATCCTATGAGGTATATACTTTTAATATGCCTATTTTACGGATGAAGAAATTAAACCACAGAGTTAAGTGACTTGCCCAAGGTCACTCAGAGACTAAGCCAAGACTTGATTCTAGGCAGTTAGGCTCCAGGGTCCCCACAAATTACTCCATTAACATACTAAAATCTTCATTCCCCACATTCTACAGAATCAGCATCAAACAGTAGCATAGTCAGAATCAATTTTATTGTATTTCTCTTTCTCATGTCACTTTTGGAGGTGAGATGCTCGCAGGTAGACAGGAACTAACATTTATTAAGTACATAAAATTTGCAAAGCACTGGTTATGTGCTATAATATACATTATTCTCCTTAATAGTCCCAGCAGTTCCTATGTGAGGTATGTTCTCTCTTTTACAGAGAAGCATACTGAGGTAACTGATAAGAGTCTTGCTCAAGGTCTTATGACTAATAAGAGAGAAGGCCCCACGATTTGAACCCTCAGCTCTGACTCTAGTGTTCTTTAACCTGAGAGCTCTAAAAATTAGCAGTTGGAAATGTTTTGCTTTATTTTCAAGTTATATAGTGTCACGTTAATTTTTAAGACATCATCGTGTTGGCAACAGAAGGACTTTAGTGTAGCATCCTAATTGTAGTTAATAGAAGTAATATTTTCTTGCTCTTTAAGTGTCATCTTGTGTCATGACTGTACCTTGTGAGTATAAGTGTGTCTGCGGCAGTTGGGCCATTCCTTGTTACCTGTGCAAGCCCTGAGGGCATGTCCTTTCTTGCTTTACAGGATAGCTCTCATCCTCATGGTCTTTGTTAATTATGGAGGAGGAAAATATTGGTACTTCAAACATGCGAGTTGGAATGGTAAGATATTTGCTGAAGGTAGCATTGATTTTTGTAGGACCTCTCAGAGGACTGTGGGCAGGATAATCACTCAGCATCCCCTAGGAGCTCCAGAGATAAGGCTCCAGCAGCCTTGTCTGAGCCACTGATCTTTTTCCTCCGTAGAATGACCTTCAGATTATTCTATTATTCTATTATTCTAATAATTCAGATTATTCTATGACCTTCAGATTATTCTATTGCTGTGGCTCTGTAATACTTCACTGTAATAACATGTAGGCTCCAAAGATCTCTGCTGTAGGACTGTGGAACTCTGCAGAAGATGTTAAGAACTTAGTCATAAATGTCATATTCTAGTTTCGCCTTTCAGTACAGCCATGTGTGTGTCTTCTAAGGCTCATGGTGCTCCTTGGGCTGCCATTGACCCAATGTTAGTCTGACTGTGCTGAGTAATGGCTGTTAATTTGGCTTGGTGGTTGGTTTAAGAATGGATTTTGAATAGCACTGCTGAAAGATAACAGATTTGTTCACAAACTTCTATTTGGTTCTTCGGGCTCAGTTATGTTCTTAGGAAATGCCCCAGGCCCAGTGACTGATTGCAGATTCCCCAGGGAGTGTCTGTGTGTGTTACTTCACAGTGTTTTCCTGTGAACTCTCTACATGAGTTTACTTTCCATATATATCAGACTATAATGGGGCCATTCTAGATTTAGGAATTACTTTCTAGAATCCTTTTCCTTACTCTTTGTGCTTTTGTTCTTCTGCAGGACTGACAGTGGCTGACCTTGTATTCCCATGGTGAGTTGGCAGTCTAACATCATTTCTTCTATAGGTCATCTTCAGTTTCTTCTTTTCAGCTGATGCTGGAACCTTTCTCTGAGGCCAGCCTTGAGTTCTGGGCCTCAGGCCTGTGTTTACTCACAGGACTGTACTGTTATGAGGTCTTTCCAAAAGTTTGCTGCCAAATAATTCTTAGGCTTGGCATATTGCTTATCTAAAACGTGTGTATATAAAAGATAGTGAATTCAGAGGGAATGTTTTGTTAATGTAGATATGATGTTTAAGACCCTTGAATCTTGTAGGAAGTCATAAATTCTGAATATGTACTTAAATTCCACTAATCCTGAAAATAAGCGTAAGAATCATATTTTCTAAAAGAAATGCAGTGTATTGGTATCAAGGAATTCTGATAAGTTTGCAATAGGGCAATGATGTTAATAAATTAAAATTTAGAATAATAGTAGAGTAACAAAGCTCCGTGTCTGGTCATCTGTGGCTCGCTCACCTTGTTGAGGGACCCTGACTTCCCGTACAGTGTAGAATTTGTGTCTTAGCTGTGACACTTTAAGCGACTTTGCTCCATTATTAGGAGCTAATCCTGCCTATTGGTTTATGCCTTTTGTTCCAGGTATTTCATCACTTATATGAACTCAGTTTTTTGGGGGAGGAACTGGGTTTGTTTGTTTGTTTTTTGAGATGGGTTTGCATAGGAGGAAGTTTTAAGTGCCCACAGACCTGGTATTTATTTATGTATATTCTCTGTGAGGTGAGGTTCCCTACAGGAAAGTAGCTTGGTTCCTGTTACTGTTTCTAGAGGTTTTTACCTGATTAAGTGACCCCAAGAAAGGAAACCAAGGGACACAAAGGAGTGTTGCAAGAGCAAATGGCTATCTCTGTTATCCCCTTGCCAAATATTTAGAAAAATTACTATTCTGACTTTCTTTTAAAAGAGGTAATTTACTATAGTAAAAGAATGGAGAGATATGTGGCTCAGACAAAATCAGAAAAAAATACAGCTTTCATTTTTCTTTCAGAATCAAGAATGAATTAGAAATGATTGAAATGTGCGGAATTTGAGGGCGTGCTAGTGAATGTTGAGTTATTTGGATTGTGGCATCTTCATCATCATTTCTCTCTGATAACTAAATGGGACAGTTGTCCTTGGAAATTGCACTTAGTACTGATGAATTTCCTCCTAAGACATGACTTGAAGGTGTACAAACCTTACAGCTCCACAGGGCTGCATTCTGATTCTTCCTCCACTAGTAACCTGATGTCATTTCAGTGACTGACTACTTTAAGAAAATCACATATTGCTTCTCTTGTGTAGTAGATTATAACATATTAATGCTATATAGGCAAAAACATTGGAAATGGCCACCTAGTAATAGCTGTTTTTTTTTCAGGTTTGTATTTATTATGGGGTCTTCGATTTTTCTATCAATGACTTCCATACTGCAGCGGGGATGTTCAAAATTCAGATTGCTGGGGAAAGTTACATGGAGGAGTTTCCTGTTAATCTGTATAGGCATTTTCATTGTGAACCCCAATTATTGCCTTGGTCCATGTAAGTATTTTTTTCCCCCCTGTTAGTATATTATATATTCAAGTTTAAATGTGGAAACATGTTGTAATTTAAAAGAAGTATAATTCCTCCATCTCAGGAACCTGCAAAAAGAACAGTTATTAGAAAAGTATATATAATGCTTGTATAACTTTGGACGTTAGTATTGTTATCCTGGACTTTTAGACCTGGGAGGAGCCTCTAAGACCACCCAAACCCTTCTGGTACACAAAGGAAGACGGAGGCTATGAGAGGTTGAAGGGCTTTCTCCATATTATCCAAGTGTAGTAAGTGGCAGAGTAGGGACGAGACAAAGTCACCTGGTCCTCAGACCATGCCCTTTTGCCACTATTTCATCAACTTTCAAATAAGGCTATTGTATGGTAGTTCAATAATTCACTTTTGTTACCACCTGTATGTCCACTGGGTTGCTGAGAAGGAATGACATCTTTGTCATTGTTTTAGCAGTGTGAGGAAAACAGGAAAGCTGAGGGAAAGATGTAAGCCCTGTACTGGGTACTGGAAAGGCAATGATTGATGTCCTCAAGGGCCTTACAGTGTCATTAGCAAAAGAGGATGTAGTTTTCTAGATAACAGCCAAATGAACCCCTCAGGCAAGAAGCACTAAGATGTTAGGTATTAGGAGGAGGTAGAGGTCACTTGCGGTTGGGGTCACAAGGAAGGATGTCACATAAAAGTTGATTTGATGGATCTCTAAAAGTGGGCCACTGCTTCCAGGAGGATACATTACAAGGCTCACTATAGGGTTACTCTCTTCCAGTGTTACAGTCATATAGTCTGTGAGGCAGGGAGAGTCAGTTGGTGGCCTGTGGTGGGTCTGCAAATTCCTGATAAATGTGAGAGTTGACTCTGTAACCCTAATGGGAAAGGGCCAGGGGATGAACTTCAGGGACAAAGGTAGTCCTCGCTTCATCTCCACACCTGAGGAAGACACTTTTGCTCTCATCTCAGTCTCCTAGGTGACCAGCTTCCTGCTGTGAGTTTGAGCCACGTCTCCTGACCATACATAGTATTTCTAACTCTAAGAGCTTAAAAAAGACTTACTCAGGTGTCATATGGGTATGTCTTCCCCCTTAGAAAAAAGTAATGGTATCTTGGGATGAAATGAGACATGCTGGCTAACCTTCACCTAACTTGCACCTTCTGCAGTGTCTTGGGATAAGTTGCGAATCCCTGGCGTGCTCCAACGGCTGGGGGTGACTTACTTTGTGGTTGCTGTATTAGAACTCCTCTTTGCAAAACCTGTGCCTGAGAGTTGTACCGTGGTGAGAAAACTATATATATATTTTTAAAGGGGGGTATCACTGTATAGTTTTTAGAACTTCATTTAGTTCTGAATGCAGAATTGTACTTCAATAGACTCTTTAACTCTGTTAGTCAAATTCATTATTTTTTCTTCAATTAGTTATTTTTATTTAGTCTTTATATCAGTCATTTTTTTTTTATTGTGGTAAAAAATACATAACATGAGATCTACTCTCTTAACAAATTTTTAAGTGCCCAGTAATCAAATGCATATGGGTGGCGTTAAATATTACTATCATCTAGTTTGTTAGTTCAATCTTTTGGGACATGACTGCCAGTTTTTCCAATCCCTTGTGATATAAGGTATATATATATAAAAAAAACTCATATAACATATCAGCATCTGTACAGAGGTTTAACTTGGAGAAAAAGTGCCAAGCTGGGGTATAGGAGAATGACATATTCTTGGCTGTTTCTTCTTTGTAAGAAGTATGTGAGAGAGTCGGCTCTTTTGTGATTACTTTGTATCTCACTATAAGTTGCTGAGTTTACGTGGTGACAGCAATTTTTTTTTCCCAATGGAGGTAAAAATTCAGGTGGAAATGTTTAAATTCTTCCCCAAATGGTCCTACTTAATAATAAATTAAGTAGAGCTGTATTTGTCTTCTAGCTTCTTTCTGTACATGTAATTAGCAAATTCATCACCAAATCCCAAATTCTCTTGGTTCTTCCTGTCATGATTGCTCAGTTATGTGTTCTTCGAGTACATTTAATCATTACTCCTTTACCTCTTCTGCCCTCCCTGCCCATGTTCCTGTACCCCCTACTAGCTTTTCTTAAGGTGAAGTGAGACTAGACATGTGCAGGTGAATATAGGCTTGGTTAGCCATGTGTGGGACCTAAGGGTCTGTGGAGGCTCGTCCAGGGGCACTACGATGGAGTGAGGCTGGGTGGGACGCCAAGGGGTTAGGTGGTTTGCATCCTTCTTCCTTCAGCCAGAATAGCTCCAAGAGTTTAATTTCATTTTCCTCTTTTAAAATTTATTTTTAACTTCTATTTTTTAGAACAGCTTTATTAAGATATATTTCATAGACCATAAAACTCATGTTTGACATGTATAATTCAGTGATATTTAGTATATTCAGAGTCGTGTAGTCATCACTGCTATTTAATTCTAGAACATTTTCATTACCCCAAAAGACACCCCATGTTTACTACTAGCCACTCCTCTTACCCTCCAACTCTCTTAGTCCTAGGCAATTCCTAATCTGCTTTCTGTCTCTATAGAGTTGCCTGTTTTGGACATTTCATGTAAATGGAATTATACAATATGTGGCTTTTTGTGTCTGGCTTCTTTTACTTAGCATAATGTTTTTCAAGGTTTATCCATGTTTTTCCATTTATCAGTAATTGATTCCTTGGTGAATACCATTCCATTTTGTGAATGTACCACATTTTATATTCATTCCTCAGCTGATGGACGTTTGACTTGTTTCCCCATTTTGGCTATTATGCATTTTAATGATTCTCTGTACTTCTGTGTACATGTTTTTTTGTGTGAACATCTGTTTTTAATTCTCTCGGGCATAGGAATAGAATTGCCCACTGATTTCTTTTTAAATAATGTTTTACCGTGGTATTTCGTAGAGATGGAACATCTAGACCACGTAATTTATATGCAATAAACAGGCCTCTATTTTTATATTAGTACCATAATGGCCAAGAAAACAATCACGGAGAATTCCCCCAAATACATATGCTGCATATTATTTCCCATTCTACCTGCATTTAGGAGAGAAGATGCTCTTCCCTTCAAGACATCATCTCTAGCTGGCCGCAGTGGCTCTTCATCCTGATGCTGGAAAGCATCTGGCTAGCTTTGACATTCTTCTTGCCTGTTCCTGGCTGCCCTACGTAAGTGAACCTGTGTAGGTAATCCCTTTTTGCATGTCATTTTCTGCCAAGTCAGAGCTTCGGCTATACTTTCAACTTTCCCAAGTCAGAGGAATCCTCTTTCACTCTTCTCCTTCGAATCATACTTGATATTGAGAGAAGAGTCTGGCGTGTGTCTAGAGGAGTATCCCGGTGAGGATTTTTCAGGGTCAGTTTGAATGGAAGTTGGGCCTCTGAGCCTTCACACGTGGGGGGCAGTCAGTCAGGTCAAAAGAACATTGGTGAGAGTGCATGGTGCTGGAGGGGTTCCCAGGCTTGAGGCTCGTACATGTTTGAGGCTCGTACGTGTTTGAGGCTCTTTCTTGGGATCCATAAATAGCCAGAATATACCGTAATCCCCTCTGAAGTCTTATGAGTTAAGTGCATGTTCTCACTTTCTCAGTGGTTATCTCGGCCCTGGCGGCATTGGAGATCTGGGGAAGTATCCAAATTGTACTGGAGGAGCTGCTGGCTACATTGATCGCTTGCTCCTGGGAGATGATCACCTTTACCAGCACCCTTCTTCAACTGTGAGTAACACTGGCTTGTACCTAGGGCTGGACACTAAGGAGCTCTGAAGTGAAGGAAAATAGAAAGGGGTGGCCAGCTTTAGCTGTGTCCATTTAATAAACTATGCTGGGAACTAATTTTTATTTGAAAAAATGGCTGAGTTTAATGTTCATTATGGGAAGGTATATAAACATTACTTTGGATTTTAAAATGAGAACGCAGTGTATAAAATGTGTAGTGTAGTGCTTTTCTGTGTGTCTCAGGTTGGATTTCCTGGCAGCAGACTCTGAGACAGAGATTCATATGCAGGAAGTGTAGCAGGCAGTCTTTTTGGGATCAACACCTGCTAGGGAATGAAGGGTAGAGAGAACAGTTGAATAGCTTTGAGTCACATGGAGGCCTCACCTGATCTCATGGTGGGGCCATTGTGATGGCATTTTTAGGAGTTCAGGTATTTGTTCATTTCATTTGTTCATTTCATTCAGAGTTGTTCTGCATTGAGGGGAAGGATTGGGTCCTTGATATCCCTGGTTGGGTGTGGACTGCCCCCAGCAAGAGGGTGTGACTCCTGGAGAGGCAGCTCTCTGAAGTCAAGGACAAATGCAGAAGAGGGACTTGACTGACAGCTATTGACCATTAATACTTCTAGCAGCTGGGGAATGAAGGCTTTAGTTCTGACAAGGGCGGGGTAGGGGGAGATATTTCAGTGGTACATTACAACATTCACTATCCTATATATTTCCAAATTTCTACAGTGTCTACAATAATGTTTATTTTGTAATAAAATAACACAGACTTTTAAAAAATGTTATTTGCCTTAAAAGAAGGTAGGAGTCTATGGCCATGCTACAAGCCTGATCCCGTCTAATCTCAGAAGCTAAGCAGGATTGGGCCTGGTTAGTACTTGAATGGGAGACCACCTAGGAAGACCAGGTGCTGTAGGCTTAAAAAGTAAAAAAAAAAAAGGATTATAAACTGACAAGGTCCTTGCAATCTGTGAGGTCAACCAAGGGTTGCCTCGCCTAAAAAAAAAAAAAAGATAGGAAGCTGTTGTGTTACAATAGGATTGACCAAAAAGAATAAACTTAAAAATTATGATGGTATTATACATAGTATTTGAAACTGATTAGAGATGCATCGTGTTGCTGGGCGTGTCTCCTGAGCCACCTGAATTTAAAATGGCTGTGCCAGACCATGGCTCATCCTTGGGCTCTGCGTTCCCTTCTGAAGCGTCACACACCACACACTTTCTTCGCTAGAAATATTCTGCCTATAATCCCCACAGGTTGACAGTGAATTTCTTCAGCTGAAGCAAAACACATCAAATACTGGAGTGTATTCAAATTTGTATTTAGTCTGCGAGTTTTTTGTGTGCATTTTTCTGATCACTGAGTGAGTGCTGCCTTCTCGTTCTGTTTTGTTAAGGTGCTTTATCATACCAAGGTGGCCTACGATCCAGAAGGAATCCTCGGGACCATCAACTCCATTGTGATGGCATTTTTAGGAGTTCAGGTATTTGTTCATTTCATTAGGATACATTTTTTTCTGACAGTTTGTGATTATTAATTCATCACTAATTCAAAAAAATTGTTTCATTAAAATAGCTATTTGGAAGTTCCAAAAAATTATTTCATATTTAAATAGCTATTTTAATGAAATAATTTTTTGAATTAGTAATGAATCAATAAATTCCATTTATATTTGATTGTCAAAACTAGAAGTTGCTAAAATTCAGCACATTTGAAGAATTAGGTATAATTTCTATATTCTCAAAAACATTCTTATTATTTACATGGCCTATCTTAGAAATGGAGGCATAGCAGTTTCTGGATAAAAGATTTCCCTGCTGGACTATGCAAAGTGTTTGGGTACTGGTGACGGTGGGAAGTCACCATGTCACTTGTCACATTTCTTTTGTGTGCCCTTTATATTATTTCAGGTTATGCATATTTTATGCCAAAGTCAATACAGACTATTCTTGGTTTATCTCACATACAATTTTGTTTAAATTCTAAACAATCTAGATCAGCTGTCCTCAACCTTTTTGGTACCATGGACCAGTGCTCTTATGAGAATCTAATGCCTTATGATCTGAGATGGAGCTGAGGTGGTGATACTAGCTCTGGGGAGTGGCTGCAAATACAGATGAAACTTCGTTTGCTGGCCAGCCGCTCACCTCTTGCTGTGTGGCCTGGTTCCTGACAGGCCATGGACCAGTAGCGGTCCATGGCCCGGGAGTTGGAGACCCCTGGCCTAGATTTTCTAACTAAAGTTCTCCTTATTGATGTTTGAAACTGTTATTTGAAGGGAGCTTGCTGGGAGAGGAAAATTCGTGTAAAGCAGCACTAATGGAACGCTTTATGAAAATATCTTGTATCTATACTGAGTACTTGAACTGTGGCTAGTATGACTGAAGAATCGAGTTTTTTATGTTAATTAAATTTAATTTTAAGTAGTTGCACGTGGCTAGTGACTCCTATATTGGATAGTGCAGGTTTAAAGGATATACATTTTAGTGATTAATATCATATTCAGAAGTACTGCCTTTATAGCAGTTTATAGTTTACATTGTGTTTTTACATTTATTCGTTTAATTCCTACACATGCTCTCTAGGTGAATCTGCACCTGCAGGAGCAGCCTAGCATCGGGGTTCATTGAAGAGTGCAGACCCAGTGCACACTGTCTGGTTTCAAACCCAGCTCTGCCACTTACTAGCTGAGTAACCTCAGGCATGTTACTTGACCCCTCTGTGCTTCAGTAGCACTTAGTTCATAAAGGTGTTGAGAGGATTAAATAACTTAACTCATATAAAGGTCTAAGAACTGGCACATAGAAAACATTCATAAAATTTAGCTGTTATAAATAATTAATACTTTCTTATACTTTGTTTTCAGTAATTAATTCCTAATTTGAGGGGATTTTTATGCAAAATTGCTCTTTTTGAAATGTTTCCCTGCCTCCAGTTCTACCCTGTTCTTGTCCCTCTTCTATACTGCTGCCAGACTAGACCATCTAGCAGGCCAGTCTGAACCGGTCCCTTGTTCCTTTTTTTGGGGCGGAGGGTGATTTTCCTTGGCTCCCCATCACCTATGAGAAAAATCCTGTGCCTTCCAGTGAGACCTGCAAGCCTACCTGTCTGCCACCAGCCTTTTTGAATTACCTGCAGCACCTCAGGGGTGCTGGGCTTTTCCACCCATTTGGACTTGCTTCTGTGCATGCTGTTCCACTCCATCTGAATCATCTTCCTGCTTTGTGCTCTAGCCTCAACTCTGCTGCACTTCTTCTCTAACGTCTCCCTCCCGCCCAGTGGTCCCACGTGCCTCTCACTCTCTCCACTAGTCAAGGGCAGTGGCAACGTGCCATTCCTCTTCGTAATCGCAGTGTCTGTCAGTGTGCCTGGCAGATGAGTCTGTTCAGTGATTAAGACAATGGGTGGATATGAGGAAAGAATATACATTAGGCAATTCTCTTGGTCATACTGCATTTTCTTTTCCAGGCAGGAAAAATACTCTTGTATTACAAAGATCAGACCAAAGACATCCTGATCAGATTTACTGCCTGGTGTTGTTTTCTTGTAAGTAACTGACGTTCCTCACTAAAATCCCCTTTCTTCACACATGCATACTTAAAAGAAAAGAAAAAAATGTTTAGCAACACTGATAGGTGTCAGCTGTCACCTCTTCACAACAGGTAGCATTCTTCATTTGAATAACAGAGAGGAACAAATCTTTGCACCTAAATTCTCAGGTTTATTTTCTTAGGAGAATGTCTTTATAAATAAGTCAGCGTTTGCCAGCCAAAAATACATGAACAAATGGAATCAAGGTATGAGTTCTTGTGGGGAACCATACCAGAAGGATCAGGCCAATAATAACAGGTTTCCACACACCAGCTTCCAGATTTACAGGTTACAAAAAAGTTGAGTGTTCATTTTACCCTTGATCTTGCCATCATGTTTCCTCTCAAGATTCACTCTAATTTATCATTTAGTTTACATTTAACTCTGAGAAATGCTGAAACAATATTTTTTGGAGAATATTTTTGTTATACATCTTAAAAATATTTTTCCAGTTAAAAGAATAAAATGTAAGACAATTTTTAGCCCTCCCTAAACAATTAATTAACTAATATTTTTCAGTTTTCAGTTTGGGAACATAATTGTTTTTCGAGATAATATAAAAAACTTTAACATCTTTCTCCCCCTTTATAGGGGCTTATGTCTGTTGCTTTCACGAAAATTTCTGAAAACGAAGGCTTTATTCCAGTAAACAAAAATCTCTGGTAGGTATAGAAAACTGTCATTTTAACGGTGATTGATTGTGCCCACCTGGGATGCTCTCTCAGGAGCGCTGAAGCACATCGTTCTCCTCCTAGGTCCATTTCGTACGTCACCACACTGAGCTCTTTTGCCTTCTTCATCCTGCTCATCCTGTACCCTGTTGTGGATGTGAAGGGACTGTGGTCAGGAGCCCCATTCTTTTACCCAGGTAGGTCACCTCTAACCCCAGCGGGAGTCAGCGATGGTGACCAAGTAGACTGGCCCAGAGACGAGCTGAGAGCCTCGAGCCAGGGCCCTGGTGGCTTGTTTCCAAGAAGCATGACAAGGGAGAGAGCTGCAGGGGCCGCACTGTCCCAGGCCATGCAGGACGTCCCTGGCCTGTTCCAAAGCAGTCCATCTCATTTTACCCATTAATGTTGTGGGGTCATAAATGAGCTCCAGTTGTTTCCTCAGGGAATCCCAAATTGCAGAGGATCAGAATCGACTCGGGGCCTATCATCCAGTTTCTAATGCTTCAAGAACGGTGCCATACTTTCTTTCTTAATGTAAATGCACTGCCTTTTAGGTGGTGCATAAGAAATATCAAGAGACAAACGGATTGGTTTAAATGCAGTTCTACCTGGAGACTGAGAAATAAACCAGATAATTTCAATGACTTATTTCAGCCTTTTGATTCTAGTAATAGTCCCTTTCTTTGGACCTCAAGTTTTCTGTGAGAAAATTTAAGTTAATAATTTTGGCTTTTCTTTCAGATTTAGTATTCAAGAATACTATCATAAAGTGAATATTTTCTAATAATTGTTTGATATAGTTGACACTTGAGTGTCTAAGATATGCATCACTTATTTTTTGGCAGTAGCCAATAATGTAAGTGTGTGCTTTTTGTTTTTCCACTGAACTAAAATCAAATTTCTAGAATTAAATAGATGATCAGATGTGACTCAGGAAAACATCGTCTATGTTTCTTCCTCAGGAATGAATTCTATTCTGGTGTACGTGGGCCACGAGGTCTTCCACAACTACTTTCCCTTCCAGTGGAGGCTGCAGGACAACCATTCGCACAAAGAGCATCTCATTCAGAACATTGTTGCCACTGCTGTCTGGGTGCTCATTGCCTACATTCTCTATAAAAAGAAGGTTTTTTGGAAAATCTGATGACTCTAGCTGACGTGTGTCGCTGGCAGACTCTAGTGGGCCTTTAGTAAAGGGAATCACTAATGATAAAATGGATAGGATGTACATTTCCAGATTGTTGGGGAAGATGCTGTTGCACTCAGGCTGGTTGACTGTGACATGGCTCATCAGAACTTCTGTGTGTTTGAGACTTACAAATTTGGAATGTAATTGTCTTTTTTCTCCATCTTCTGTGTAAATGGATGGACTTGGAACTTCAGTCTAAGGATTTCTTGATTAACTTTTCAAAAGGGAATTAACATAGGCATTTTGCTTGTGTAACGGATAAAACAATTTAAGGTCTGATTCTTATCAATCTTGTTTTCTTGCAAACTGCCTTTCCATGTCTACACATGCCAACCAAGAATACCATCATTTCTGTTGTGGCCGACTATAAAGTTTATGGAATGCGATGTGTAGTAACATAGTCTTATATTTTTTGGTTAAGTGAAGTCTAATATTTCAAGAAAGTCAGAGTAATTTCCTTTTCAGGTTTACAAGGCATTGGTGGATCCAAAAAAAATGCCTTTCTATCAAAAGCCACTTTCTCCTTTTCCCCCACTTGAAAAAAAAAGTTGGAATATAGATGTCATTCCCAGCCACTTTTGCTTAGTTATCTACTTATGTACCTATCTATTTACCTATCGATCATCTCTCTCTCTCTCTCTCTCTTCTCTATTATTTTCTAACCATCTACCTACTTGTCTATCTTTCTCTCTGTGTATCTAGATGGTAGCTGGTACCCAGGGACATAGCTGCGGAAGAGAAAAAAGCACACCGTCTTTCTTGCTTGTGGCTTCAGCTTTGCCATCCTTACCGTGTAAAATGCTGGGCAAGTCCCTTGGCCTATCTTGGTCTCGGTTCCTCATCTGTGAAATGAGGGAGATAGCGATGACCTCTCAGATGCCTTCCATCTCTTAGGCTCAGTGAGGTGGGATATATCAGTAACTTTTCTGAAATCCTTAGAAAAATAATTTTATTATGGAAAACTCTTCAAAATAAATGATAATGAAAAGTTTTAAAAACTCTCATTGGAGTAAGTCTTTTCAGAATGACCCTCCACAATGGAGGCTCCTTTCTAGCTGGGAATCACAAAACAGAAGAAGTCATTTCTCAGAAGTGAGGCTGGGAGAACACACGAAGAGAAACAGTGCTTTTCATATGATGCATCATCATACTTATGAATTTTCCGTGAGAATTCCATATTTAAGGAAAATGTGACAATAGCTTGTACTTTAGAGCATCCTGCAGCGGGGAGCCGGGGCCATCTCAGCATTGCTTCGACTGTTGCCACTGCGTGGACGAATTCCTGGTCTGTGTTTCCAGCTTAGACCTCTACCCTCAGCTCTCATCCCAACTTTAACTGCCTGCTGAAGCCCTCCACCTGCATATCTGCCAGCATCCAGGCTCACCTCTTCCCTCTTTTCTTTTCTCAAACTCAAAGCTTTTCCTCTTTGGATTTTCCTAGCTCTGTAAATGGATCATTCTGGTCTCTAGGTATAAAACTGCCAACGTCTTTCACCCACCTACCTCATTTATCTCCACTTTTTCTATATTTAGTCATTGCCAGTTCTCGTTAATCCTGTTTTCATCTTTTCCTGTATCTTCTTTGTTCTCACTGCCACTACCTTATTACTCCAGTCGATTCGTAGTTCTTTTTAAACTGGCCTCCTTCCCTCAGTCTTTCCTTCTATAAAGTCACTATCCATTGCCACTAGATTAAGGTTTATCAAGCAGAGCTCAGAGCAAATCACCTCTTTATAAAAACTTACTTTGAAGTTGAAACAGCTTTGCCTGTCATACAAGCAAAACCATCCTCAGATGAGCCCGGCCCCTATACCCACCCTACTTATTCCAGCCCAACCAGATTCCTCCCACCTCCATCATTTAGCCAGGACCTCCTACTTCTGATTCTGATTATTGTCTTCCTGGTTTACTTTTTCCTCTTAATTTTCTGCTACCTACATTTGACCTGTCACTTAAGACCCCTGACTTCTAAGGCATCTCTCTAATCTCTTATTCTCATCCAAAAATAGTGTGTTCTTTCTTTGGGTTCTTAAAGTATCTTATTGGGATCAATCTCATGGCATCCATCACTTTATGACCTGTATGATAGCTGTTTATATACATGTCTGGTTTCTCACACTAGACTGTTTAATATTGCTTGTAAAGGGCAAGAGTTATCCCTTGTTCATCTGCATATTCTTCGTGGTACAAACAGCGCCTCATACATAGCAGGCGCTAAATAAAATTTCTTAAAGCAAAGAAGTGGTTGTTTTTTTGCCGGTAAAATTAGCATCTGGAATGCCCCATGAAAATGTTCATGGAGCTAATGTGTATGGGGACAGTCACCTTTGAGGAAACTTGCTGCTGCCCTTCCCTTGCAATGAGTCATTATGGGTGTTCACAGCTGTGTGATCCTGTTTCAACTAGTAGAGCAGGCTGGGCCTCTCCAGGTGAGTTTTCAGATGCATCTCTCAGATTGGGGAGTATATCAGTAAAGCTGTCTTAAAACATAAGGAGATCTTGATTCCGCTGGGTTATTAGGAAGACTTGTCTCACATAAAGGTCCTGAGGTAGGCTGGCTACAGCACTTGATGGCTGTCAGATGACTGCTGTCTTGAGTGCCACCCACACTTGGCAAACGAGACACTCAATGGAAAGAGAGGGCATCCCCACTGTGTATCTCATATTAATAAGAACCCCCCAGCCCCCAGAAGCCTCAGCTGCCTTCCCCTTGTGTCTCATTGGTTACAAGTGCCTCACTGGACTTGCAAAACCAGCAGTGACAAGGGAACTCGGATTGACCAAGTCCATGGCTATGTGGAAGATGGTGGTTACCTCTTCTGGGAGCAGAGGGAGTGTAAAATTAGGTGGGAAATCACATCACCAGTGTTTGTCTTTGGTTACATATTTGTATAATCTCTTTTCACCAGAGCAGCAAGCCAACATTTTCCTCTTGGTAATCAGTATTTGTTGGGCATTAGTTCCAAAATACTGTTTTCCTTTCGGCTACATATACTTCTAAATTCAAAGTTGACAGAAATGCTAGATACTTGCATTATGTCATGAAATGCCTCAGATTTCATAAACCCCTTATCTAATTGTGTATGTCAAAACACTATGATAGACAAAAGATGCCATTAGCATGCTGGCTTTCCTTTGCAGAATTCCAGCCCAAACTCTAGCTGTAAGGACAGCAGGCCCTGCTCCCTGCAGTGCCGAGCATATGGCTTCCCTCAGTGTCCATTACCATTTTGGGTTCTGGTAGAACACTGGGACTTTCTCTATAGAAACTGGGTCTTTTCCTAACTTTCCTACCTTTCATGGTTACCAATTTGTTCTTGTATCTTTTTTTTTTTTTTGCAGTCACATCCTTCTACACCACCCCACAACTTGGCACAGGTGTGGCACCACTAAGTTAGGAAAAAAAAAAAAGATTTTTTTTTTTTTAATCTGGTGCCTAACCACTTGGGTATTAGAAAGTCTTGTTTTAATATATGCTGCCCCCAAACACCAATCTGAGGAAGGTATTATAAAACCAAAAGGTGAGAGAGTGTTTAATATGAAAGCTGTTGGATAGCATACTCTGTGATAAAAACAGGATGGTTTATGTATTTGTAATCAACTCATTACATTGATGAACACTTTAAGACAAGCCAGAGGAAATATTTTTGAGATCAGATGTCTATTACTTATGCCACTTTATTGATTTTAATATGTCTATAAAAAGGGTCTTAGAAAAGATTTCTAAAACTTTTTATGCAAAGGAACTAAACAACTTCTTAGCTTTCATTCTTTAATAAGCCCCTAGAAACAAATGTTTGTTTGCTGTTCGCCTGATATATTTCTGGAATAGCAAAAGAAAAAATAAACCTGATAGTTAACCTGGTCAAGCAATTACAATGTGTGAGGCACTCTTCTGAGTATTTCACACGAAGTCATTATTATCTTCGTTTTTCTGATGACAGGCTTGAGGCACAGAGACATTAACGTGTCCCTGGTGAATGGCAAGTGAAGGGGGCCGCACAGAGCCAGGGGTGGAATCCAGGCAGTCAGGCCACCGAGCCCCTAGGGAACCCCTAGGCAGACACCACTGGTGCTCAGCACCTCCAGCACCATGGGAGGCCATCCTTGGCCTGGGCAGGAAAGCGCCTCCCCTTCCATCATTCCCTTCCCTGGGCTGTTTGGCAGACACCCTCCACCCCTACCTCTGCCCCAACGCTCCTTCAGCGCAAGTTCACTCAAGTTCATTTTGACATAAAGATTTTTGATATTAAAACTTCTCAAATGAAAAGGTCTAGATATGTATCATGTTGATACATATATTTAACCAAAGCCTAACTATGGAAGATCAAGTCTTGAGATCATGAAAAGAATGATGTCTTTTTTAAGTAAAGTTCATCCTTGTTCAGAAACTCATAATTGAATTGAAATAAAAATTTAAAAAATTCCAAATTTAGGATCATTTTTATTTATAAAACAGGTTTCTTTTGTTTTACAAAAATTACAAAAAACAAAAGACTCAAAAATAGAAATAGCTTCTCAGACTCTTAGGAACTACTTTTAAACAACCAAGGAGTTAGAACTCAGAGGGTTTTCTTCTTTTTAAGAATTACAAAGCAACATTTATCAATACTTTATGTCTTTCCTCCAAATTACATGGCTGTGAGTTGTCTCTGGTGGAATGGTCTCCAATCAGGCCAGAGTCTGAAGAAGCAAGATCTTCTCGTTGATGCAGAACCTGTGCAGCACCACCATCAAGTTCTCAGCACAGCGGGACACCTGGCGCTCCATGGCCAGGCGGAAGTCCTCCTTCACGCCCTTGGTGATGCCCCGAGTGACCGTGTGGTGCCTGAGGGCAGCGACAGGGAAACAGATGGACACCGTGGTTAGCACTGGCATCACCACCAGTCAGTGTTTCTGGGGTAGGAGTAAAGCCTGCCTCAAATTTAAGTGTAAGTAAAAAATTTTAAAAAGAAAGAAAAGCCTTAACCAAACAACATCCAGTGCCCATGCCTCCTCAGAAAGACTTAAAACTACAGAGATATCTTTCCCATTCAATAAAAAAATATTTTAAACATCTAAAGGTTCTGTAAAATGTCACCTCCTTCAGAGGTACAGCAGGGAGGAGAAAAACCAGAATGAGCTAGTCACCATACAGAGGATGAGTTCCTGGCCCCTCGGGCTAGTGCTCCATGAAAGGCTCAGAAAGGCTCTGGGATGGTGCACAGCCACTATGGTTCAAGTATGTCTCTGTCCCCATGCTGCCAGAACAGGACCACAATCTAAGTATTGAGCCCAGCCAGACTCACATCTACTTGTGAAGAAGCAGGAGGAGTTGGGGTCCCAGGACAAGTCTGACACAGGTGGGGAGAGAGAAGCAGAATCGATGGAGAATGGTCAATGGCCTGCAAAAGGCAACTGAAGACCAGATCTGGTCCACGTGCGCAGACCTCCACATTGGTGGAAAGGTTGGTGGGAATACAAGCAAGGTTTCTAACTACACCCTAAAAGTTGTGTTTTAGAGAGAGAGATTACAAAAGAAATCCTGCCAAAATGAAGGAAAAGAAAAATACAGCAAACTTCAGTGGGTTCACTTAAAAGGAAAGTTTTAACTACTAGTTCAGTAATTTGGTGGATTTAGACAAATAGAAGCCGCCTCCCTTCCCTACCCCTATTGCTTCACTTCCCTCAGACACAGTAACAGAGATTTAAAATTGGAGTTTTATGTACTGGCCAAAATAAAACTATTGAAATCACTCTAAAAGGTTTGTTTTTTAAAACTTATAAACTTTTAAAATTTGTCATATAAAAAGAGTACAACAGAAGTCATAAAGTTGCAATAGAAGAAAAAACACCCTGGTTTTGTTAGACTAGCAAAGATATTACTCGCCACTCTACAATGCCCATGGACATTTTAAAGAACTACGAAGTAAAACAGCCGTGCCATGGAGAAAACACGCAGTTCTTTGTGGACATTTCTAGTCAAGGCTGGCTGGCTAGGTCGGTAATAAGGACACAGTGTCAGTGAGGCCGAGGCCAAGTCCCACTGGGAATAGATGCGGACCCTTTTTATGCTGGCCTGAGATTACTGCCCTTCTGGGTCCCAGAATGCAACCCCATATTGGAGCTGACTCATTGACCAACCGAAAGTTACTGGTATTTGAAGACAGTATGCTCAAGGGCGCTGATGGTACAAAGTAAACTCTCCCCTTAATACCAGTAAAAATATAATAAAATGTATCCTGCTGGTCATGGTTCAACAGTACTGGACCATATATAAAGAGAAGTACAACTCAAGTATATTTCTATCAGAGCCTCTATCCCTCTGGCAAATTTGGATGAAGAGAATTAGCTTTTGTGGTTTAAGAACAGGATAAATCCGCTAATAAACATGACATTCTGGCCCACCAAATATTTTCAATTCAGAAAGGTAAGGTCTGAAAAAACAGTATCAGTAGCAGGCAAATACTATGCTAATGCCTGAGGAGACCAAACCTCAACACTGGTCACTAATATGAAAATCCAAAAATAAAAATTTACTTAAAATAAGCTTTAGTATCCTTAAATATTTATAATTGAATGCCTTATGTTTTCTCGAAAGAGAATCCGTTTAATGCCTAATCAAATGTACACTTAATCTAACAGTTTTATATCACTTCCATTTTTTTTTCCAGATCCATAATGATTTTTAAATTGGACACAAAACACTGGCAACTTATGGAAAAAAATAAGAAATGTTACAATATTACAACCGGATGGTTTGCCAAGGAATGCAGAACAAATTAAAAAATAAATAAAGCATGAAAAAGAGCACTGAGGAACAAAGAGCTGAAAACCATGGGCAGTAAAACATGTTGACAAAACAGCACACTATGAGCAGGTGTTTTTCCACTTGGTACCTGTCAGCAGTCTGTATGCTGGGCTGAAGCACATAAGAATTCC